CACGCACCGTCCTCCATGGCAGCCACATGCCAGGCCACAGAATAATCCACAGTCAAGTTAGAAGCATTGGAGTAACATAAAGTGTGCTCTGTGACCACACTGGAACAAAATTAGAAGTCGTTTTAAAACGGGTAACTGGGGAGCTCATAAATATGTGGATTTTAAACAACACACTTCTAAATCACCAGTGGGTCACAAAAAGGAAAAGGGGTATCAGAAAACACCCTGGGATAAGTTAAAATGAAGATAGGCCATTCCAAAACCTACAGCATGCAGCTCGGAGGAAAACGTGCAGTTGTGAACATCAACGTCGTTGGTGGGGTTACGTGACTTTAAGTGAGACACGAATAACAAAGCCAATTTCATCACGGGCTAATTGGTACACACAGGAGTTAACTTTCGATGGCACCTCCTCGATGTTACAGTGAAGGCACATCCAAGGATGATGTGCTGTACATATGAGAAGGAAGAAAGAATGCAAAGTCAGTCACCCAACCTTCCACTTCAAGAAACTAGAAAGAGAAAATAAATTCAAAGCAAGCTGAAGGAAAGAACTACAACGATTACAGTGAAGACTTAAAAGCAAGGACTCAGAAGAATATTTGTATACCCATGTCCATTATAGCATTATTCACAATAGCCAAAAGGTGGAAGGAAGCATTCCAGTTTTTCATTGATGAATAAATGGATAAACAGAACATGGTAATCACACACACACACACACACACACACACACACACACACACACACGAATATTATTCAGCCTTAAAAAGAAAAGTAAATTGCCCTGGCTAGATGGCTCAGTTGATTGGAGCATTGTCCATGCACCAAAAGGTTATGGTTCAATCCTGATCAGGATGTGTACGAAGGCAACCCATTGATGCATCTCCCTCATATCTCTCTCGTTCTCCTTCTCCCTTTCCCTCTCCCATTGTCTCTAAGATCAATAAAAATTTATCCTCAGGTAAGGATATAAAATTAAAGGAAGGAAGGAAATCTTGTCACATGTTATGTCGTGAATGAACCTTGGGGACATTACTAGTATAAGTGAAATAAGTCAGTTACAAAATGACAAATACTGTATGATTCCACTTATAAGAGGTTCCTAGAGTAGTCAAATTCACAGAGACAGAAAGCAAAATGGTGCAGGGGCTGAGGGAGAGAAAGAGATGGAGTTATTGCTTAATGGGGACAGAGTTTCAGTTTTGCAAGATGAAAAGAGGTCTGTAGATGGTGGTAAAATAATGTGAATGTACTTAATGCCACTGAACTATACACTTAAAAATGGTTAAGATGGTAAATTTTATTTATTTGTATTTTGCCATAATTTCTAAAAGAATAAACTGGAAAGCAATATCATAGAAAATAGAAAAATAATAGAGGAAAGTAACTAACCCCAATGTTGGTTCTTAGAAAAGTTCAATGAAATTGACAAAACTTTACCTGGCTTGACCAAGAAAAAAAGAAAAGACTCAAATTACCAGAATCAAAGATGAAAGAGGGGTACATTAATACCAAGATTACAGATATAAGAATTATAATAGAATAGTGTGAACAACTGTATGTATAGTTTGTGTCCTAGAAAGACACAAACTACAGAAACTGACTCCAGAAGAGATAGAAAATCTGAGTAGACCTGTAACAAGAGAAGAGATTGAACCAGTAATTTAAAATACCTATCCACAAAAGAAAGCCCACGCTCTGATGCTTTCACAGATGAATCTCATCAAACAATTAAGAAAGAATTAATAATAATTCCCACAAAATCTTCCAGAAAAAGAGAATGGAATACTTCCCAAATTGGGAACTGATGAATGAAACTTGAAAATGATATTTAAGTGAAAGAATTTAGGCACCAAAACCACATAGTATATGATTCTATTTATATGAAATGTTAAGGATTGGAAAATCTATAGAGACAGAAAGTAGATTAATGGTTTCCTAGAGGCTGGGGAACAGAAGGTGACAGCTAAAGAGTGTGAGGTTCCTTTCTGAGGTGACGAAATGTTCTATAACTGAATTGTACACTTTAAATGGGTAAATTATATGGTAAGTAAATTATATCTCATTAGTTATTACCAAAATAAGCATTCCACTTTTAAATATTACATATTCTGAGATATTTATAATATTTTGTTTGAGCAAAGATTTCCAGGCCTTACAAAAGCCTTCTTCACACATCCCTTCATGCAGGAAGGTTTGCGCTGAGCACCTGCTGTGTGTGAGCTGTTGGGCTGGCATGGGGGTCAGACAGTGAGGGGTACAGAGCCAAATCTATCCTAGCTCTGCCCCTGAGCGTGTAATCAGGCGAGGACTGGGGAGCATCCAACCACATTCCAGCCTGCCAAAATACCTAGTACCTTGCCAGGAGGTTGTAGTGACCGACAGCAGAAAAAGAATGCTGGCCAACATGTATTAAATGCCCACTGTGTGCCAGGCACTGCGCTAAGCACTTTCATTGGATCCTCACAATCCCATGAGTGCGTCCTCATTGGCTTCCCTTTACGATGATGAAATGGACATTTCCAGCCTTTGCCCTCCACCTCTTGTGAAGGGTGGAGGGCAGTCCTTGGGCCTGCAGGAGTCCCAGGTAGAAGCAGGTTTGTGATGGGCCAGAAGGGGATCTCTGCTCATTCAAGGGAGAAACTGAGGCTCCACAGGCCATGGGTGTCTCACTTGGTGCTCTGGGAGGCAAAAGGCACAAAGTTCCCAAGACTGGGTTGCCCACATTCCCTGCCCTCTCCTCAGCACCCCACCTCCCTGGGGCTCTGTTTCTTCAGCTGTAAAATGGGGCTATCACTCCTAATTCTGCCAGAGTGTTAAGAGACGTGCACAAGGTGAGTGAACACACCCTGTATAATCCACACCAAGGAAGAACCAGTTAGCTCTGCGCTGGCAAGAGAAGCACCAAAGGCAGGGACCCCCTGCCCACATTAAGAAGAGCCCTGGCCCTGTCTGGAAAGGGCAGTGCGATCACACACACACACACACACACACGCACGCACGCACACACACACACACAGACACACACACACAGACACACACACACTCACACACACACACTCACACACACACTCACACACACACACTCACACACACACATACACACACACACTCACACACACACACACTCACACACACGCACACACACACTCACTCACACACACATACGCACACACATACACACACACTCACGCACACACACGCACATACACGCACACACACGCACACTCACACACACACACACATGCACACACACACGCACACGCACACACACGCCCTGCCCATCCCTCACCTCTGGCTCACCACCCCGTTGCCTTGGGGTACTGGTCATGTTGTGGGAGGATCTGCCGCTCTTTTCCCATCAACCTGGCAGCCCCACTCAAGCCCTCCTTCTCCTGGAGGCCTTCCCAGGCTGAGCCCAGCGTGAGCACACCTCCTCGGCCCCACGTCTGACTGTCACCACCTCGGGGGAGGGGATAGATTCCTGAATCCTCCAGGTCAATGGTCCTGTGCTGACCCTGACTCACACAAAGCATCAGGTAGCATGAGGTTAATGGAGCACTTGGCATGCTGGGTAGCTCTGAGACTGAATGAGATGATGCTGGAGGACCACTCATCCCAGCGCCTGTGTCCTGCTCTGCCCCCTCCCAGGCTGCAGGCGGGGCAGGATGGAGGGAGGTTTGGAGGTGTTGCTGTGCATGACTGAGCGCCGAGAACCCCTCTGCGGGGGGGCTCAGCTGGGGAGGGCACTAGGGGGTGCTGTCCCTGGGTGGGCCACGGGCACAACTCTGACCAACTGGGTCCTGAGTTGTCCGTTTGGCCCTGGAGGGCGGGGCCTCACCTTCCGCTGAGATCTCAGGCCAGGGCCCTGCTGACTCGTGTTGAGGGGAAGACAGGCCCATGGGGTGTGGATCTGGAGAACGGCCACCGTGGGTCGGCTGCCCCTACTCAGGAACCAGGGAGGGCCTCCCGTGCCCGGGGCCGAGGGAGGCCAAGGCCCCTGACATGAATCACAGGGAGGGGATCTCACTACAGTGCCCGGGGCCGAGGGATGCCTGCGTGTCGGGGCTTTTCCACCCTCCCAGGCTGCACTGGGCCACGCCTGGCGGTGCGGGAAGCAGGGGGACGGGGCGCAGGGCACGGCCGCCGTGGGGGAGTGGTGAGCGAGAAGCACATCTCAGCCTCCCGGGCCTGCGGGGCCAGCCCCACCCAGCCATGCCCTCGGCTTCCAACATCTGGAGGGTGAGACAGCATGGGTTTTCTGAGTTTACGGGATTCCATTTCCATTACATACACAGAGTAAGTAGTACCACATCATAAAAACACTGGAAAATATGAAAAAATAATGGGGGGAAATCACTGATAATCTTGCACCATATTTAAAACAACTGATGACCTCTCTCCCCCGGATTCTGGCTCACCTCCTGGGTGGGAGCTGCCCCAGCGCCCCACCCTGACTCGGCGAAGCATTTGGTGAGAGACCCCCAATCTCCTACTCCCCTTTCCTCCCCCCACAGCGCCTTCACAGGCCCCCTGGTGGGGCAGCCCCCTCCGAGCTGCAGGCTGAGGAGGAAGCCTGGCGCAGAGCAGGCAGAGGTGGGCCTGGGGGAGGGGCGCACATCTGGATTCCTGGCCCAGCGCCCGCATTCCTTCCCCGTGAGTGTGAGGCTTTGGGGTCTCAGGAGAGAGCTGTGAGGAGGCTGCTGGCCCCTGGCCCACCTCACGCCTCGCGGTAACAGGACCCACCCTGGCAGGAACACGGGTAGGGACTGGAAGGTCCAAAACCTCATTTTGGGGTCCTCCCATCCAGACTGCTGCCTAACTAGAACAGGTCCACGCTGGGCTTCCTCCCCACTCACACCATCCAGGCCTGCTCAGGAATACCGGAGCGGACAAGAAGGTGGAGACCTGGAAGAGGGCAGAGCAGGGCTGCCGTCCACAGGAGCTGCCCACAGGGCACAGGGGCCCACAGGCCGCCCCGGGCCAGGCTGCCTTACCTGGGGGCAGTCCTTGATGTAGTGTCCTTTGTTGAAGCACAGGTGGCACAGGTAATTGGGCGGCGGCCTCTTGCTGGGCTTCCGGGTCTCAGAGGTCAGGGTCAGGTCAGAGAAGTGCTCGGTGAGGGAGCTGAGGCCATCGGCGATGTTGTTGAGGGAGCCGTAGGGCGAGGCACTCTTGTACACGCTGCTGCTCAGGGCCTGTGGCGGGGACAGAGGCTGTGAGGGCCCAGGAGGCCTGACACACTCAGTCACAGCCACGGCCAGGGCATGTCCATGGGCCCACGCGCATTCACACTTTCACACACACACAAACACACACACACACACACACACACACACACACTCACAACAACGCAGAAGGCCTGACACACTCAGTCACAGCCACGGCCAGGGCATGCCCATGGGCCCACGCGCATTCACACTTTCACACACACACAAACACACACACACACACACACACACACACACACTCACAACAACGCAGAAGGCCTGACACACTCAGTCACAGCCACGGCCAGGGCATGCCCATGGGCCGGCTCATTCACACACACACATTCACAACGACCCCAACGCCCACGAGCTCAGGCCTCCTGGAGCCTGGGTTCAAATCCAAATCTAGTCGTGGGTCCATGGGCAAGCCAGTTAGCCAACCTGGGCCACAGTGGCCGTCTGGAAGACAGGAATAATGATGTTTATCTCCTAGGGTTTCTAGAAGATAACAGGAAGTCACAAACGTATGGCACTTGAAACCACTCGGTTGGTAAAGGGTGGTGATGGCGATGACAATGCAAATTATTATTATTATTATTATTATTATTATTATTATTTTACAGAGAGGAAGGGAGAGGGATAGAGAGTTAGAAACATCGGTGAGAGAAAACATCGATCAGCTGCCTCCTGCACACTTCCCTACTGGGGATGTGTCCGCAACCACAGTACATGCCCTTGACCGGAATCGAACCTGGGACCCTTGAGCTCTAACCATTGAGAAAACCGGTTAGGGCGACAATGGGAGTTATTATTACCATTAGTTCTCCTCCTACTGCCAGGAGATACGCAGGTCAGCAGAGAACCACCTGCTGGGTTAAGGACTCTGCCACTTACGGGTGGAGGGCTGGAGACAAGTCCCTTATGTCAGTGGTCGGCAAACTCATTAGTCAACAGAGCCAAATATCAACAGCACAACGATTGAAATTTCTTTTGAGAGCTAAATTTTTTAACCTTAAACTTCTTCTGAAGCCACTTCTTCAAAATAGACTCGCCCAGGCCCTGGTATTATGTGGAAGAGCCACACTCAAGGGGCCAAAAAGCTGCATGTGGCTCGCGAGCCACAGTTGGCCGGCCACGGCCGTATGTCAGAGCTGACTCCACTTGTAAGGAAGCGGAACGTCGGGGGCAGCATGGTTTCCAGCGGGCAGAGAGCCAGCGCTCTGCCGGGTCTCCGGCAGCACCAGGCCTGTGCAGACTGTGTCTGGGGAGCCCAGGGCCTGGCCCGGCTGGCTCTCTGGGAGCCAGGGAGGAAGGGGCCCGCCTCTCTCACCTCTCCCACCTCTCCCACCTCCAGCTGACAGGAGCCAGATGTCTCGCCTGGCTTCAAAACAGACGAGGCCCAGGCCGCCTCCTGCTGTATACACCCTCTATTTATAGGAGTCCCCGCTCCGCGGCCAGGCACACTGGAATTTGGTGAAGGTGGGGCCTGCGGTGAGGCCATGGCTCCCTTTCCTGGGTCAAGGCCAAGGCTGGAAAGAGGCAGCTTTCTCAGGAGGGTCAATGACAGGCCTGGGCACGGGCTTGGGCACCCTGACCCCAGCTCAGGTGCCCGAGAACTCCGGGAGTGAACGGTGGCCTCAGGGGGCCTTGGGTCTAACGGAGAGACACGGCCTGTTCTCAGGAGTCCCCAGGCTGATGGGCGAGGAGAAGCCTGAGGGGAAGTTGCCTCCAGCTCCCTTACAAAGGTGAGGCAGACAGCGGCCCAGGGTGGCGGGGTCCTTTCTGTGTTCCCTCAATGTGAGAAGGGGAAGGAGGTGAGCTGAGAGCCGCCCCAAGGGAGCAGGCACCCCCACAACCAGGACAGACCCCACTGCTCACACTTGTCTACCTCAGCCTCCCTACATGTTCCATCTCTGGGGTCTGGACTCCCTTCTAGAGGACATAGTCTCACCATCTGGGTGCTACCCTTTTCTGGACCCCCTCCGGGGCCCCCTCTCTGAGCTTCTGTTCCCTCGGGCAGGTCTGCCCTGGAGCCTCGGCCTAGAAGGGAAGACACAGACCATGTCCCAGGCAGCCCAGGCCCCACACAGTCGCCTCCAGCCACTGGGCACGGAACTCGAAGGCTCCCAATGGCCATTGCTGCTCTGTCACTGCCCAGTGCTACCATGCCACCCTGGACCAGTGGAAGATGCCGCCCAACCCCGCAGATCTGAGGGCAGCTCTCCAGGCCTCAGGTGGTCCAAGATGGGGTGGTCCACACTGAGAAACGGAAGGTCCCCATCTCTGGGTGGTGGGAGCCAGTACGGAACCACCTTAGGGGTATGGGAGGGCTCCGGTGGGAATGGGGTGAGATGATCACTGAGATGATCACTGAGCACCTACTTTGGACCGAGCCCTGAAAACTTCACACACGTTAAGACAGCTGATGCTCACAGCCTGAGGAGTCACTGTCTCCCTTTACAGATCAGATGAGGATGTTCCAACTTGTATTGAATGGCCTGGGAAACTTTTCACAAATGCCGTTCTCTGGGCCCTGCTTCAAACCTAGCAAAGCAGCCACCTGGGGCCGAGGGCCTGGGCTCTGCTCTTGTTATTGCGCTAAATGATACACACATAACATCTAGCATTTGGACAATTCTTTTTTTTTTTTTTTAAACACATTTTTATTGATTTAAGAGAGAGAAAGGGAGAGGGAGAGGAGAGAGAGAAACATCCACAATGGGGGGAGAATCACGGATCGGCTGCCTCCTGCATGCCCCACACTGGGGATCGAGCCCGCAACCCGGGCATGTGCCTTGACCGGGAATCAAACCGTGACCTCCTTGTTCATAGGTCAGGGCTCAGCCACTGAGCTGTGCTGTCTGGGCTCGAGCCTGCCTTTTTAAAGCTCCCCGGGCAGTTCGGTACAACCAGCCCAGCGTCACCTGAGGGAGCACCTGAACTTTCCAGCTGTCAGGTCTCTCCTTAGATGGACTCTAGGCCTCTCCCCAGCCGCTGGCCTGAGGCAGGGCAGCCCGGCCCAGCCTCCCAGAGAAAAGTTCATCCAAACAGAAACTTGAAGCTCCAAATGCGTGAGTCACCCTCACGGCTGGGAAATGCAATTTTCACAAATAACAACCCTCTTTCCCCCCTTTTTTTCTTTTCCTTTTCTTTTCTGGATGCGATTTAAGAAAGTCCACAGGAATCAGGACTGTTTTGGCAGCAAGTCGGCGAGAGGAAGGGGAAGCGTGGTGGGTGCCAGGAAGTGCACGAAGTCTCCCCTGCAAACCTCTCCCTCGTCCCGTGGGCACGCGCCCCTGCCAATGGCCCTGCTGGTACCCCTGGGCGGCCTGAGCCTCTGAGCAGCCTGCCCTCTCGCTGGCAGCTCGACACCTCACGAGGGTCATGCTTGGCCCCCGCCACAAAAGCAGCTCCTGGTCCGAGGGCGAGCCAGAGCTCCCTCCTCTCTGCTTCTCCCACCCCAGCTCCGGGCTCCGGCCTGTCCCTCTCTGCGCTCCGGCCCAAGTCAGGATGGTACCACTTTGGGGCTGGAAGGACGTGAGCTGACACAGCCTCGCCCTCACAGATGGAGAAACTGAGACCCAGACCCGGGCACACGGCCAGCACCAGGGCCAGGAGGCCTGTCCATGTCGCAAGGGCGGGTGGGGCAGCAAGCTGTTTCCTCTCCCAAGTCCCAGGAGGAGCTCGGGCCATGGAGGTGAAAGGTGAGTTGGCCCTGTGGCCGGTGGCGGCTGATGGAGAGGAGGACAGGACACCGCTTCCTCCCTTCCGGCAGCAGAACTGGGCCCGGCCTCTCGGGTTTCCCACGTGCAGAATGGAAAATGGAGCAGGGGAGGTGGCAGGCTTGGCAATCCCTGCAGACCCCCTTTCTTAAGGTCCGGCACCCAGGAGCTGACAGATACCCCCGGAGCCCAGCATGCAACCAGCACTCAGTCGGTTCTAGGTCTTGCCATCTCAGGCCCAGGGCAAGGCTGGGTAGCCCTGCCTGCATCCATCAGCCCCTAACTCTGCAGCAGCCCGGCTGCTCCTCTCTGCATCCCACGAAGCTACTGCTTTCCTACCTCCAGTTCTGCCCTTGCTGCCGCCTCCCGGGGGCCCTCTCCGTGCTCATCCAAACCTCCTCCAGGACCCAGCTGCTGACAAGGTTCTAACCCAGTGGCAGGGCCTGGAAACCACCGCTTCCTCTTACTCAGGCCTCGGGACTGAAAAGCCCAGATTCGGGTGCTCCTGAGGCCCCACTAGTCCCAGAGGCCCCAGCCTCCTCCAGGGGGCTCCGGGCCTCCCTGCCTCAGACCTGGCCCTCGCTGCTATAGGAGGAACACCCATGACGCCCCTGCCCTTGCCTGGAGGAGCTCTGGAGTCTCTGATCTCTTTGCAAGGTGATGGACACCTCCTCGTGTCTCCGCGAGGCTGGACATCCCTGAAGGCAAAGATTCTGCAACCCTTGTCACTCCAGAGCCCAGACAGTTGGGCTGCTCCTTACACCGGGACGGTCCTGGGTGCCGATCCCCCAGGCAGGGGAGGGCCTGGGAGTCCCACTTGACAGGAGAGGGAATGGATGCCTTAATACCTTGAGGGGTTTAGGTTGAGGCCTCTGAGTTCCTATGGACTAAGTCAAAGAGTGGTCTCACCCCAGATTCAGCTGCTCTGGGCACTGGTTGGGAGCACCCCTCGTGTGATGGGCGGAAGCCTCTGGACCATCAAGGCCCTCATCACCAGCCTGGGCGGGGGAAACTATCGTCCTCCCTCCCTGGGTCAGCGGGCCAGGCAGCTAGCGGGGAGAGAGGGATCCCCACACCACATTGGGGGACAGAGTCAGACTCCTGCCCGTTGCTGGAACCTCTTCAAGGTTTGGCGTGGCTGCTGGGGAAAGGTAGATGGGAAGACACCCTACCTGTGTCACATACTCGACTAGAAGCTCTCCCGTTCTTAGTCCTCGGCATTATTTTACTGAACTAAAAACTGGGGCTCAGCAAGCTGCCCAAGCA